AGCTCACGTTTTTATACACGCAAACCTTTGATAGATCCGGCCCTATGTGTTAAGAGTGAGTGCAAAACTTTGAGAGAAACTAGACACTATCTTTGTGTACCAAAAGTAGTAAGCTTGACCCATTTTTAGATCCTTCCCCTTTTTTAATCACAACTAGAGCCCCTCGGATAGTTAAGTGTAACATAAAGTTATGCTGAAGTGAAAACTATAGAACCTACCTGAACAGGATTGACAAATTTTCCATCAATTTTTAGCTGGCCTGTGCTTTTGAAGGGCTCGTCTGCAGTGAGCAAAACATACTCGGATCCCTCATCAACAGGAACTTTCTCCATCGTAAAGAGCATAGTCGTGTCTTTAAGAATGTGGAAGGCTATATGACAGAAAGACATCACTCATGAAAACATATGAATATTAAACAGCCCAATCACAAAGTTTGAGCGCCCTAGTTTTACATCTTCACTTTGTTCCAGAAATAAATCAACCTTATGATATTTTCCATTTAAGAGAAGGAATCTGTATGAAACCTTGTATGAAATATAAGCATTGAAATGAAAGATAGAGATAAGAGATAAGATAGATAGGTTAAAATCTGTGTGATGTTCTCACCATTTCCTCGTGTGACAGATTCAAAGAAATCATGGCGTGTGAACTGGGATTCATCTTTGTTGAGGTTTTCATTGTGAGATTGCAAAAAATGGTCTGCTCCCTCCTCTTTTGGTACCTTCTTTAAAACCAAATTACACATGTTGACTGAATACAGCCGGATGTCCTTCACCAGGACCTGCAGCCTTTCTCTTTGAGAGTCTTCGTCATTGAGAAAGTTCTGAATTGTTATACTTCCAAGATGACCGACCAGGAGCTCCTGGTGTCCAGGTTTCCGAGGAATGGACACGACTGGCGACTCAATGTTTACATTGAGGGTCAGCTTCACCAAGAAAGTGTCCAGAGCCGATTCAGGCTCCTCCATGGAAACATCCTCCTCATTGTCGAACGAATACCCCCAACTGTGGCTAGAAGTCCGTGTTCTCCGAGACGGGGTCTCAAAGAGAGAAACCCTACCGCTGTACTCTGCGGTTTTAGTAGCGAGAACTGTTGAGACTGTAGTGGCAGCATTTTTCAACATGGAACGGAAACCGTCTTCCAGCTCGTTGGCTGACAGACTGAGCTCTCGCAGGAACTTGGCTGAGTGGTTATAGTGCAGAGATGCCATTTCCAGCTTCAGAGAACACTCCCCTTGGGATTTCTCCTTGAACTGAAAATTCAGAGCATCTATAGGGGAGTCTCTCTTGTCAGATAGAAATGCCAATCCTTTGAGACTTGAGGAGCTGTCGTCAACACTCCCAATGCTGACCACGAATTGGTTTCTGCCTGCCTCCTGGGTTAAATCCACTAGCTGCATGGATCCGAGTGAACCACTGATGTCCAAATGGCTCCCCAGGGAAACGTTGACCTTGGTACCAGAAATACTAGCAGTGGCAATCTTCAAACCTTTTTTCTCAACACTGAGGGCAGTGCCAGATGAGACAGTCCTAAGTAGGAGCAGGTTTAGCCGATGAATCTCAACTGTTATCTCTTTGTTCTGGGCATATGTGGCCTGGTAAGTTCTGTCTTCTTCCTCGCTGGAAAGTTGTGCAGGATTCTCCTGCACTATTGATACATTCTCTTCTTTGGGGAAAGACTTTTGGAGGAACTTCAGCAGCTCTACCATGGTCTCAGGGTTGAGAATGATGTCCAGGTTGTTGACCTGAATGCTTGTAACCTGGAGGGAGTTGTCAAGGTTCATGGAGGGACAGTCTGAGCTGACAAACTGGTACTCGAGCCGAATGAGGGCATCCTGGTCTTTTAGGAAGGAACTTAATGGGGACAAATCAGAAGATGACCCCGCATTTATTCCAGGATGCTCAGAGGTCCTAACATCACAGGAGGCAGGAGAAGATGGCTGGCTTTCTCTGAGGCTACCAGTGGGAACGTCAAAACTTAGATGCTTATGAGAGGCAACGAGCAGATCAAAGTCTGAGCCATACGTCTGTAGAGTATCGACCAGGAGAAATCCATGAACAGTCAGGGAGACTTCTACATCATAGGGTCGCTTGACAAAATGAGCATTTGTGCCGAACACTTTAAAAACAGATATATAGCGGCCATTACTCTCTACACCAAGCTGCATGTAGTTAAGATTGAATTCAGCCAACAGTAGACGGGATTCTACCAGAACTTCCCGGGTGTGCTGCTCCAATGTCATCACACTTTGGGTGAGGTTCTTGGCAGAATCCTGGAGTTTCCACGAGCTATCCACTCTGTGAAAAATCTTGTCATGGCGGAGAGTAGAACCATCAGGGGACATTTCGTTAGAATCCTTTACTACGCCTCGATCACCTTCACTCGCAGCTGGTCGGCTTAGCCGAGCGAGGCAAGTCCTAATAGCCGTCATCTTCTCCAGGTTGATATGCACCTTGAGATCTGGCAGTGTTCCTGACAGCACAGCTCCTGGGAGCTGAGGGTCTGATGTGTAGCGCAGCCTCTGCTCAAGCTGTAGCAGCACATTAAACTTTTCAACCACATGTGTCGGTCCTACTTCGCTTTCCTGGAGATGTTTCCAGCTGTCCTTATAATGGCCAACCATTATTTGAAGGTCCTTAAATGATAAGCAGTATTTCTCATAAAGCTTTTTGGTGTAGGCCTTTGTAGCCTCCGGGGATCTGAGGCTGGGAAGTTCAAGGCTTTTCAATTGTGCTTTTAAAGGCACGTCAGTTTCAGGTGGTGGAGACCCAGGTGGGGTGGCTAGAGGAGTTTGGTACTCATCGTCACTCAGGTCTTCCTCCTCAGGTGCAGCAGCTTTAGAGTTAATGATATTGTCATCTTCAAAGAAAGAAAGAAATATTGGTAGTTTTAGGGCAAGACAACTTGAAACAAAAAACAGAAAAAACCCTTAACTATTTCACCTTGAGAGTTTGTCAGAAGTATTCTGCCCAAATCCACCACAACGAGCATCGGATCTTCTGACTGAAAATCATCTGGGAAAATCACCTGAGGCGCACAAATATCCAGTTTCATTGTCCAGCGCTTGCTATTTTCCTGCGGAAAAGAAACATGCTTGTAAGGTATTTTAAATCTCCCCTATTTCACTTGACAAACTACCAATTATTCCTTACAATAAACTCTCCAACAAGCAGCTGATCGATGGTCTGTCGAATCTCAGCCTTTGTTTGCTTCTTCAGCTTGTCGTACTGCCTCCTTGCAGCCTCTGCTACCCTTAGCTCCAACTCAGACTGATAGCCAAAACCTGGAAAAAAAAGTGTTTTAGCAATATTTATCTATGAGATTTGGATAATTATCTGTTAAATCAAGTCTGGTCATGAAATAATTTCCCTCCAGCTATTATTTATTATATAAATGTTTGAATGTTAAGCCTAATGGAATGACTAGGTGATAAAATAAGAGGAACCGCAGGGGACAGTTATTTCTCATCAAATGTGGCTGATCACGTAATCCAATTTTGGCATTTCCGTCAGTTTAATTGGTCAAAAGTTTGTTTTGTTTCATTTTCTGATTAATTTCCTTGTGATTTAAATTGTGTTTCCTATTTTAAGAAATTGTTCATTTCAGTGTTTAACCTAAATACTAACATTTATGTTGGTAAAGCCTGAATGTATGTTTAGTAAACATGAAGTAGTGAAGCTAGGGTAACAGAAGGTAGAGCTGGGCAAATAATTGATAAGATCGATTAATCAAATTTTCTGTTTATGAAAATCTAATTTTTGGAAAATCAAGATTTTTTCCCCCCTAATGGATTCTTGGGATTCCAAAACTCAGGGTGAGATCAGTTCCTTACTTTTTGTTTTTAGAATATACCTATAACTGAAAGCTGTGTGTAATGCCACAAGCTGTATCATTTAGTTAGAAAATAGATTTTCAAATCATATCGCCCAGCTATTAGAAAAAGCAAAATTCTCCTTCCAATATCAAGGAATGGGGCTTTAAACATTAATAATAGGACAGTCTTTTTTCACCCTCTATGAGCCCTTTCTTTTTTCCTCTAATGCACAACTTTTAAATTGGTTTTCCTTTTCATACCTGTCAATTTCTGTTTGTCAAGTTAAACTTGAAATTCCCTTAAGTGGGACAGTAAGAACACTTCAAATAGGGAAGTTGAGATCCTATATTTGTATCGATCCTATATGAGCCAAAAAAATTTATATCACAATATTAATAACCCTGCATCTAAAATCTCCTACATAAGAAATGTGAAAGAAACACTCTCATTTTGTTTAGCAGAGACAGGAGATTGGCAACTTGTAGGCAATGAGTTGACTACAAACTCTTCTGTACACAACCATGTTCTAGATTTAAAATTGAGGCCATCGTGGAAGCTGAAACTTAGTCCAAACCGGAGCAAGCAAGCAATGATCTAATGCTTTGTAAAAAAAAAAAAAAACAGGGAGCCAAATGTACAGCTGACAAAAGAGACAGAAAATGGCTACAAAGAATTATTTCATATTTGAAACTTACCTGAAGTGTGAACTCTTCCTTTATAGAAAAATTCAGTCACTTTTTTCATTGCTTGTGGATTGTAGATTATATTTAACGGACTTGTGTTCACTTCCAGCCTCCTCTCAAATTTGGATCTCACAGGGTTCCGCTCATATATCATCTCGAACACGGGAGAAGTACTTTCGCTATTGCATTCTGATAAGACAAAATACATCAACATACCTAAGTGTTAGAACAGATCCTTTTGAAGCAAGACCTGAGGTTTTATTACAGAAACAGAGATGATATGAACATTAGAAAAAATAAATATGCATTTACCAGTAGCAGTGCTGTGCTGACTCGTAGATTGATTAGGGGCAACAACAACTTTGTCCTACAACACATAGATCAGAATCAGAATCAGAATCAGAAATACTTTAATAATCCCAGAGGGAAATTAATTTTGTTAAACACTCTAGATACAGTTTTACATGATATATACACACATCCAACTATACAATATAATAAGATAAAAAATAAGAATAAAAAGAGATAAAATATATATACAATAAGACAGATAACATCTCCTGATTTATTAGTTAAATGAAGGAATGTTTCCAGCTCTGTTCATCTAGCCTTACCATTTTGGGAGACACCAAGAACGGGAACATGGTGCCCTGAGTGGTTAGGTCTCTGAGGAACAGACTGCCCAGTTTAACAGAGAGCAAGGACGACTCGGAGCGAGGAAGAGATTCCACCATCACCTTCACTCCTGAGAAAATCGCAATAACAACAAATTCCTTTAATTAATGGGAAAGTAAATCAAATTTAAAACAAAATCTATACCTTGCTACCTAGGGGTGGAGCGGTTCACAAAATCCACGGTTCGGTTCGGTTCACGGTTTCGTGGTCACGGTTTTCGGTTCGGTTCGGTATATGTTGTTGGTACACCGAAAACCCATAAAAATTTATAAAAAAATCCCCAAAAATTTATGAATTGTAATTATTTTTAATGAGCCGCGGAAACCCTGGATCATTTCCGCATGTTTTGCTGCTTTGAATTTAATCATCTGGCGCATGCCTTCTACAATCTCCAAGGAACAAGGAGACACAGCGGAGGCTGTAGGCTTTGCTTTGCGCAGATGGTCTGGAGCGCAGCGGGGCAGAGCGGAGCGCTGACGGAGTATGAAGGATTTCGGGGTTAGCATAATATGTTGGTCATGTTGCTGTTAGCATAAACAAAACTTGTTGCACAATGCTTGCAAACTGTTGCACTTTTATCCACAACTTTCTTTCTGCCGTCATCGTAGGTCACTCTAAATGCAAAGTGGTCCCATACAGCAGACCTATAAAGTGCCGCTGGCACGTCTTCCAACTCCTGTTCTTTCCCACTCGCCATACCCACACAATTCTCCACAACAACTGATTTTTCCCTGCTACACCCGGCTAAGCTGCTTCGCTTCTTCTTCTTCTTGTTTACTACTGGTGGTTGGCTTTGGTCGTATTACCGCCACCTTCTGCTCTGGAGTGTAAACGCTTCGCCTATGAGAAAAAGGTGCAGCGCATGATCCGAACGCAACACACGAATCGAACAGAGAGAGTCGAACCGAACGGTTTGGATGGTTTTCATAAAACGTTCCATCCCTATTGCTACCTGTATGGGGATGAAAACAAACAATCAACTTATTTCATCTTCAAATAATGGTTTATCAAATTAAAATTTGTTCCATCGGATCAGGTGATCATTTTGGCTTAGAAAGACCTTTTAGTGTTGTAGTGTGGTCACCATCCAATAGAGGGTGCCGCTTATCATCCATAAGTAGAGCCAGACCATGACCTATTGTACCGTGTCGGATTATTTTACACTCATAAACAATGACATGAATCTATATACAAGACATAAACGGCTGTCTGCATTCATCAACCACTATAAACTGTTTGCCCTTGTCAAAAATCCTTTTTACAATTCATTTAGGACAAATTATT